TCTTCCCCAAGCTGGAGGCCATCCTGGAGCAGAAGGCCGGCAGCTCACCGCTGGCCACCGTCAACATCCTCATGTCCATGTTCCAGCTCAGCCACTTCCCCCAGACCGTCCTGCACCAGGTCTTCTCCCCGGCCTTCATCACCAACGTCATGAGTACGTGGGGCCTTTGCTGGGGGCTCGGGGGCGGGTGGGGGGTGCCCGTCCCGGTGGGCTCCATGCTGCTCCCCCCCCCAGGCAGCCCCTACGCGCTGATCGTGCGCCGGTACCTGTCGCTGCTGGACGCGGCGGTGGAGCTGGAGTTCCGGGAGTACAGCGGGCCCCGGCTCGACCCGCGCTACCGCGTCCTCATGTTCGAGCACGCCCTGACTGCCGACGAGGCCAACAGGAAGTACAGGTGAGGGGTGAGGGGGCAGTGCCCCTCCGCCGGGCCCCTCCGGGGACGGGGGTCTGGGGGTCTGTGACCTGCCCCGGCAGGATCACGGATGGTGCCGGGGGAAAGGCCCTGCGGCAGCTCTGAGGCCTGTGGGGGAGCTGTGCAGAATCACAGCATCCTTTTGAACTGTAGAGTTGTTTGGGTTGGAAAAGGCCTCTGAGAACCCCGAGCCCACCCATCCTCCAGCACTGCCAAGGCCACCACTGACGTGTCCCCGAGTGCAACATCCACACAGCTGTTAAATCCCTCCAGAGCTGGGGACTCTCCCCTGCCCTGGGCAGTGGTGCCAGGCTTGGGGAGCCCTTTTGAGGGCCTATGGTGTCCTGATTTCTGGAGGAGCTTTTCTGCAGAAGGAGCCAGGGCCTGGCCCCTCTTGCCCCCCAACAACAGAGCCCAAAACTCCTGTTCTTTGCTTCCTGCTCCCAGGGGTTCCCGTCTCTGCGTGGATGTGCTTGGCAGGAGGACGTATGTGGGGACACAGCCCCCACAGTGCCCCCCTGACTGTCCCCTCTTCTCACAGCTACAAGGGGCTGGTGGCTGAGGCCCTGCGGCAGCTGGTGGGGGAGGAGTGCTACCGACAGGACGAGGTGCTGCCCCCGGGGTACTGCACAGGTAACTCCCCGGGCCCTGGGGGGGGGGTGTCAGGGCCTGATCTGGGAGGTTATTTAGGGCAGAACAAGTCCTGGCTGTTTCTGTCACCCCCTTCCCTGTATTGCTGCCTTCTGTGGTGCTTTGGGAGGAAGCCCCTTGAGTCCTCCCGCCACAGGAAGGGGAGTTCTCCTGTGCCTCTGTTCCCTGGCACAGAGTCCCAGCTGGGCCACAGGGGCCCTGAGCCCGTGTTCCGTAAGTCAGGGGTTCCCAAAGCCTCACTGATCCCCGTTGCCTCTGCACAGATTTCCTGCTGTGGATAAACCGTTCGGGCACAGTGCTGCCCCTCTCCCGTGTCCCGGCGGCTTCCAAGGCTCCCCCGGCCACGTCCCCTGCTGCCCTGGCCCTGCGCTCCAGCGTCCTGGCCCTCACCTCGGACTTGCAGGACTTTGCCCCATTTGCTCCGGAGACGCCCAGCAGCCCCCCTGGCCCCCGGGAGAGCGGCCGGGCCGGGCGGTTCCTGCCCACGCTCTGCCCGGCCCTGGGGGGCCCCTGCTTCCAGCCCCCCTCGGACTATTACTGTGGGCTGAGCAAGGAGCCGTCCCTGGGCAGCCCGGGCAGCTCCACGCTCAGCAGCCCCTCCGAGTGCCTCTCGGCGCCGCCGCCGGGCACCCCCGACTGCTCCCCCCGCGCCTCCGCCGCCTCCCTCTTCCAGTTCCCCATCGGCAAGATCCTGGAGGAGGAGGAGGAGGCCGCCGGCCGCCCTGGCCACGAGCACGGCTGCTTCCAGGGGGAGCAGGCCCAGGAGGACCCCGAGGAGCGGAGCCCCCCCGCCGGTGACGACGCCGGGCCCCCGCCCTCGCCGTGCCGGCCCAGCCCCAAACGGGGCCTGGGCGAGGGGCCGCAGGGCGCCGAGGAGATCCAGAGGTACAGACCCTGTGCCCGGTCCCTTCTGGCACTGTCACCCTGGCACTGCCACCCTGGCACTGCCGTCGGCTCCTGCCCTCTGCGGCACTTGGCCCCGGCACTGTGGGGCACCTACGGACCCCTGTCCTCACCGCCCCAGGGCGCTGGGAACAGCTGCCCCTGCCACCAGCGGGGTCTGGGGGGGCTTGGAGTGCTGCCCTTCATCCATCATGGTTCTGGGGAGCAGGGTCTGTGGGGTGGGGTGACGCTGGGATGTGGGGTGACAGTGTGGCACGGAGCGATGCCGTGATGTGGGGTGACACCGCCATCCCTGCTGTCCCCTGTGCAGGGTGGTGCTGTCGGTCAATGACAAGTGGCACTACTGCCAGAACTCCGACATCCTGGTGGGATCCCGCGCCATGAGGGACCGGCACCTGCGGCTGCTGGGATACTGTCTGGTGCAGGTGAGTGCTGTGGGGTGTGCTGGGTGTTGGGCTGAGAGCTCAGAGCTGGCATCTGATGGGCCTGGAGTTGGGAGCTGGCATCCCCGTGGATGGACGGGGTCGGAGCTGGCATCCCCACTGTAAACACTCTGGTCCCTGTGAGGGGAAGCAGGGATGAGGGGAAACAGGGATGACTCATCCTCACAGCTCCTTCTCGCCCTCCCCCACCCCGGCCAGGACTTTTTCCATGCGGCTGGCGGGTGACACCAGCTCTGATGGAAAGCAGGGACAAGGGACAGTCAGTCCTGGGCAGTGAGATCTGAACCCGAGGGAGGGGAAGGGGAGGGGGCTCAGCCCAGGCCAGCAGACCAGTGGCAGCATAGGCTGCCAGGGCTCAGGGTGAAATCAGATGGGGACACACAGGTCCCCGTGCTGTGACTCGTGATCCCATGTTCTGGGGAGAGGGAGGTAGGTGGACCCTGCCCACCCTGGTGCCCACCCTGGTTCCAGCCCTGGCTGCTCTGTGCAGAGCACTGGGGCTGGAGGAGCCCTTGGGCTCCAGCACAGCCCTCACAGGTGTCTGCAGCTCCCTCAGGAAACTCCAGGTGTTGGTTTAGGGTGTGCAGCTCCCACACGCCTGTTTATGGGTGGTTGTAGCCTGAGGATGGATCTTTCTGAGGAGAACAGCTCAGAAATGAGCCCTCAGTCCTGTTCACTCCTGCACCGCAGAGTTGACCGGAATTACAGCCATTCCCAAAAGCCGTCCCACAGCCATTCCCAAAGCTCCTCACCCCTCCCCGCTGCCTCCAGGCCATGCCAGCACCGGCTCCTCCTCATTCCACAGCTCAGCAGCCCAGAGCCCCTTGTTTGTGCAGAGCTCTGGAGTCCTGTGACTGCTGAGGAATTGCCTGGGAGCTGCCCAGGGCTGGGAGTAGGGCCGGCTCTCCCTCGGGCAGCATTTAGACAGGGCTGGCCATGGCCCCGGAGCAACAGCAGGGCCGAGCCCCCATCACGCTGAGGGGGCTTCCCAATGCCCACCACCAGGCTCCAGCTGGTGCCACAGGCTCTCTGGGATGCCCTTGGCTGTGGAAAGCACAGCAGGGACCCACCTTAAGGGACCTTAAAGCTCATCCAGTCACCCTTTGCCATGGGCAGGGACACCTTCCACTAGCCCAGATTGCCCCAAGCCCCATCCAGCCTTGCCTTGGACACTTCCAGGGATCCAGGGGCAGCCACAGCTTCTCTGGGCAACCTGTGCCAGGGCCTCCCCACCCTCACAGCCAAGAATTCCTTCCTAATATCCCATCTATCCCCGCCCTCTGGCAGGGGGATGCCATTCTGTCTTGTCCTTGTGCCAAGTCCCTCTCCAGCTCTCCTGGAGCCCCTTTAGGCCCTGGAAGGGGCTCTCAGGTCTCCCTATGGAGCCTTCTCTTTTCCAGGTGAACACCCCCAGCTCTCACCTGTATTTTGAGGGGCTCCAGCCCTCAGAGCCTTCCTGATGCTTTATCCCTCCCCTGTTTTGCCGGTGGTTGGAGTGCAAGTCCCAGTGCCCCTCGTTCCTGCTCTGTGAGCGCTGCTGGTGCTCTCAGGGCTGCTGGGCCAGCAGAGCTTCCAGTCCTCCCAGTACCCCGTCCCCCCTCATGGAGGTTGGAGAGCAGGGCTCAAGGGTGGGGTGAGGCTCAAGATTCCTTCACGAGTGTGCCAGGCTCATCCTGGCTGCAGTGGGGGCTGGAACTGGGGCCAAGGGTGCTCCCTGGGCCTGCCCCTCCCTGCACCCTGTCCAGGGCTGAGCAGGGGCTTGTCCGTGCTTCCTGTGCCCTCCATCCCCTTGGCAGGAGCCGCGCTGGCCTCCTTCCCAGGGGGAGCGTCCTGCATCCTGTTCTTCCTCCCACCACCACCCACAGCTGCTGGGGGCTGGTGGCACTGGGGGTGCAGGTGGTGCTGGAGCTGGTGTCACTGCTCTGACATTGTCCCTGTCCCCTCACAGCTGCCCTACACGGAGCTGGAGAAGGTGAGTGGCATCGAGGAGGCCAAGCACTACCTGCGGCAGAAGCTGAGGGAGCTGCGTTTCTGAGGGACGGACCCGGGGGGGGGGGCTGTGGGGGGCCAGGTGGGTGCTGCCAGCCCCTTCCCCTGGGCAGGGGGATACGGAGCTGCCCCCCATCCTGGGGGGCCAGGGGGATATGGAGCTGCCCCCCGTCCTGGGGGGCCGGGCTGTGGGCCCAGGCTGGGGGCACCTGTTCCCACGGGGGCGGGGGCCTGTGAGATTATTTATTGCCGTTATGGGGGGCTGGGGTGTGACTTGAGGGGTGAGGGGGGGTTGGTGCTGGGGGTGGGGGGAAGGTCTCTCATGGCCCCCCTGCAGTGGCTCTGCCACCCCAGCATCGCTGCAGGGGCCAGGCCCGGGCTCCCCTCGGCACTGGGGGTGTCCCTGTGCCCCCAGCGCAGCTGCCGGGAGGGGGTTTGGGCCTGGCCCCTCCCTGGGGTGCTGGGGGTCCTGCGGGGCTACAGCAGACCCCGCGCAGGGCTGGGAGCGGGTGTGCTCGGGGGGCTGTTCCCAGGGCCTGGGCCAGGAGGAGGGGGGAGCTTGGGAAGGGGGGAACTTTCCAATAAAACTGGTGAAAAGTGTGCAAAGTCCGATCTCTTTATTAGTCGAAGGCAGCGGGGGGCCCCCGGCCCCCCCCGGGCTGGGCCCAGCACAGGGCAGCCCTGGCCCCCACCCTGGCAGCCCCCCAGGGACCGGCCAGAGTGGGACCCCCTCGATGGGGGGGCACAGGGTCACCCTCCAGCCTCAGCCCCACACTGGGAATAAAGCTGTTTATTGCCATTGAGTTCCTGTTCCATAACCCCCGGGGGGGCTCAGGTGACACCTGCGTGTCGGGCGGTAGCTGGGGGGCTGTGAGGGGCTGTGGGGGGACCTGCAGCGCTGCTGGGGGGCCGGGGGCCTCTGCCCCACGCCATGGGCAGGAGGTGCCCGAGGGGGCTGTACCGCGAGGGGGGTGAGGGGCCTCGGCAGGGCAAGCCTGGGGCCGGCGTCTCTTTGGCAGGTGCCCCCCGAGGGCCCAGGGAGTGTGGGGGTCTGGCCACGCAGCTGCTGCCCCCGGCCCCACGGCGCGGGGGTCCGGCTGTGCCCAGCCTCCACCACGGGCTGCTCACCGCTGGCACCATCACACGGGCATCGGCATCTCGTTGTACTCGTCCACACCTTCCCGCTCGTCCAGGATGGGCTCGGCCTCAGCCGCGTCCAGCTGCGGGACACGGCGGCTGAGGGGCAGCAAGGGCCCCCTCGGCCCTGCCCACCCCGGGGGTCCGGCCCCCACTGCCCCCCCAGGGCCGACAGACACTTACACATTTCATCTCCCGGTCGGTGAAGATGCGGCTGAGCAGGCACATGCGGAGCGGCACGGTGAGGATGAGGATGAAGGGGAAGGCCAGGGAGGCCACGGTGGACATGACGGCCCAGAGCACGGCCAGGCAGCCCAGCTGCAGCCCGGTGAAGAGGTGCATGCGCAGCGTGCGCACCTGGCACGGGCACATGTCAGCGCGGGCCGGGCCCCTCGTCCCCCTCCCGCCACGGGCACAGCCTGCCCAGGGGTACCCGCACCCCCAAACACAGCCCACGGCCCTGCCGGGGTCTGGCTGCCCCCGAGGAACTGCCCCGGCCCCCTCTGCCCCCCTAAGCAAGGCTCTACTAGAGCCTGCCCTGCGGACACCCCGGTGCCCCCACCCACAGGTGCCCCAGGCTGGCCGCTGCCCCAGCCGAGGGTCCTGCCCCCAGTGACTCCCCAGGGCCCCTCCCCACCTTTTTGACGTAGGTGACGTCGGGGTGGTGCTTGGGGGGCATCAGCAGCAGCTGCAGGCGCTCGTAGAACTGGATGCCGTTGAGGGAGGTGACGCCCATGTAGAGGAAGATGCCGAAGAGCACGGCCAGCGGGATCTGCCGCAGCAGGTCCCCGATGACGATGGACAGACCTGGGCCAGAGCAGGGTCAGCCTGGGCAGGGGGGTCAGCGTAGCCCCCCAGCCCCGCTCCACCCTCCCTGCTCGCCCCCATCACGTGGAGAAGGTCCCGGGTTCCTTCCCCACAGGGAAGGGGACGGCCACGGCAATTTGGCCAGGGCTCAGGGTGCCCCAGCTCCACTGCCCACGCTGCCCACGCTCAGCCACAGCCCCCTAAGGCCCCCCAGAACCCTCCCCCTGCTGCCCTCACACCACCACAGTGTCCCGGCTTCCCCCAGGGCCAGACCTACCAACGAGCACGGCCACCAGCAGCCCAGTGACCCGCTGCTCCTTCACCTCCTGGATCTTGGGCTTGTCCCCAGGCGCCACAGCCTTGCTCATGACGGTGAGGGCATTGGCGTGGGTCACCGAGCGCACGGTGGCCGCGGCGAGCCAGGGCAGCCCGAAGAGTGCAAAGAAGCCACCCATGGCCACGATGAGCAGGAGGTCGAGGTGGAACCCGGAGCCCTTCTGCAGCATCCGCTCCTTCTTGCTGATGATCAGCCTGGGCACAAGGGCAGACGGTCGGCACGGCTTCCCCCGGCCACACCGATGACCCCACCCGGCCCTGCTGCGCTCACGTGGTGATCTGGGTCTCCATGAAGATGAGGATGAAGACGAGGACGGCAGGGAGGCCACTGGCCACCATCATCCACACGGGGAAGTCGCTATGCTCGCCCAGGGGGTTGATCACCCAGCCCCGCTTGTCCGGGGCCGTGACCGAGAACCCGCTGGGCACACTCAGCTTCTGCAGGGGGAGAGAGACGTGGGGTGGGGGTGCTGGCTGTGCCCCCCAGGGAGAGGAGGGGCATGGAGTCACCACCCACAGCAGCTGGACTTGAAGAGAGATGGAAGGCAAGACACTGGGAGCTGGAGGCAGCTGAGTGGGCACAGCCATAGTGGGGACAGATGGAGCCACTGACCCACACCCAGGACAGAGGGAAAGGGCACAGAGACCCTGCAGGAGGAGAGGGGGGGTCCTGCCCAAGGGGTGGGTGGGTGCTGACCTGCGTGTAGGTGTCCTGGATGCTGTAGTCCACCAGCACCATCACCAGGATGGCGATGGGCACCCCAAAGTCCCCGATGAGCCGCCGGATCTGGGGGAACGGCCTGGCCTCAGCCTCCTGCCTGCCCCCCCCGTTCACCCCAGTCCCCCTGGGCTCACTCCAGCCCCCAGGCCCCTGGCTCAGCCCAGCTCCCCCCCAGCTCAGCCCAGCCCCACGGCTGCCCCGCAGCCCCACGCACCCGTCCGGGGAAGAAGCGGCTGTTCTTGAACTTGCGCAGGAAGAAGGCGATGAAGAAGGTGCCGGCCATGAGCACGAGCGAGAGCAGCGCCGTGTTGGGCTGCCCCGTGACCTTGGCAGCGCCGCGGGCGGCAGTGCCGGTGGCCGGGGCGGTGCCGTTGGCCGTGGCCACACTGCCGTTGGCCCAGGCCTCGGCCGAGCCGTTGGCGGGCAGGCAGCCGTGCAGAGGGTGCTCCTGGAAGATCTGCGGCGGCGGGACGGGATGGGACACTCGGCACCACATCCTGCCCAGCCGCCCCGCAGTCCCTGGCCCCACCAGCTCACCTTGGCCAGCTTGGAGAAGGTCTCATAGATGAAGATGAGGGAGATGAGGAAGGCGAAGATCTCCTGGGTGAAGCGGGAGACGAAGCGCACCAGGAAGCTGCCCTCGAAGGCCACCATGACCAGCACGATGAGGATGAGCCAGAAGCCGATCCAGACACGCCCCACCAGGTACTCCAGCTCGTTGGACGTGCAGAACTGCCCAGCCACGGGGACAGACGGACGGACAGATGAGTGTCAGGATGGCCACAGGGCTGGGCAGGGGCCCGGCAGCGGGGCCAGGGGTGATATGTCCCCCCCGGGCCCTGGGGCAACCCTCATCCGCTCACCGTGAAAAAGGCCTCCTCAAAGACGAGCAGCGGCCCCGAGAAGCCGATGACAAGCAGGGGCTGGGCGCCCAGCAGGCAAAAAAGGACGCCCTGCAGCGACGTGGAGATGATCAGCTCCGACACTCCGATCAGGTCCTGTGTCTTCTCCCCTGCGGCAGGACAGGCTCAGGCACACCGGCAGGACCGGCCTCTCGGGCCCCGCAACACGGCCCCGCCCCAGGGCCCTGACCCGCTCCATCCTGCAGCACACGCGGGGCAGCACCCGGCAGCTCTGCAGCCCCCCGTGACCCCACCACCCCTCACAGCCCCCCACTGCCCCTGCACCCCCCTGCACTCACCCAGCAGCCCCCCAAAGGTGATGGCCGGTGACAGCGCGGCGAAGTAGATGAAGATGACGGCGGCGATGCACTGGGGGTCCAGCGCGTCGCGGAAGTCGCTCAGGTAGTGGGGGTACCTCCGCCGCACGTCCCGGATCAGCCCCCCGAAGGGCCGCCCCGTGCGCCTCAGGGGGTCGTCGTCCTCTTCGACCTCATCCTCCACCACCTTCAGCTTCAGCAGTGCTGGGGGCAGACGCACAGACGGACGGACGGTGAGACCCCAACGGCTGAGACCCCCCCCCGCCCAAACCCTGCCCCAGGTACCTTTCTCCTCGGGGGACTTGGGCTCCAGCAGCAGCCTCCGTTCCTGCTCCATCCTCTTCTTCAGCATCTCGCGCTGGAAGTGGGCGACGCTGCGCAGCAGCTCCTCGCCCTGCACCTCGCTGGGCGGCAGCACCACGCTGCAGTCCAGGAACTCGTTGATGGCGTTCAGCAGGTCGTGCCGGTCGTCGGCCAGGTACGCGGCCTCGTGGAATTGCTGGGGGGGAAACGGCAGGGTCAGCGCCCACCCCACAGCACTGCGGTGCCCCGAGACCACAGCACGGCACAGCCCCCAGCCCACAGCCCCGGCACAGCCCTGAGCCCCCAACCCTGGTACAGCCCTGAGCCCCCAACCCTGGCACAGCCCTGAGCCCCCAACCCTGGCACAGCCCTGAGCCCCCAACCCTGGCACAGCCCTGAGCCCCCATCCTGGCACAGCCCTGAACCCCCACCCTGGCACAGTCACGAGATGCCCACCCAGCACAGTCCCGAGTCCCTGGCCCCAGCACGGCCCTGAGACCCCCGGCCCCAACAGGACACCCAGCCCCAACACTGGCATGGCTCTGAGGCCCTGGTCCCAACACAACCTGAGCCTCCCACCCCATCCCATTCCGGTTCTGAGCCCCCCGTCCCAGCACATCCCTGAGCCCCCCGCCCCAGCAGGACCCTGATGCCCCGTGGACCTTGTCAGACATGAGCGTGGAGATGGAGCGCCCTATCTCGTGATAGTCCATGTGGGTGCTGCTGGGGCCCAGCAGCACGAAGAGGAACCGCACGGGCACGGGCACCTCCAGCACCGCGTCCAGCTCCACGGCCTCCTGCAGCCGCACGAAGGCCATGGTGGGCTGGTCCAGGAACTCCACACAGCCTGGGGGGCACAGAGGTCAGTCGAGGGCCCAACACACTGTCCCCACCCCCCTGCCCTGCCCACCCCTCCGTACCCACAAGCACCACCGTGGCCTCGGCATTGTCCGGGATCTTCTCCAGCAGCTTCAGCTCGTGCTTGGACTTGGAGCGAGTGATGCCGGCCGGGGGCGTGGGGGTGAGGACCTCCCTCTGCAGGGACAGAGCGGGGGGCTGGGGTCAGGCCCCTCCCCAGGGCACGGGCAGGGCTGGGGGGCCGTGGCACCCACCTCCCGCTCCACGTCCACACGCGTGTCGTGCTCGGCAGCGTGGCCGGCGATGAGGGGCTCGGTGACAGTCGGCTCGGCGCCCTCGGCCACGTGGTTGGTGCTGTGGTGGTGCACGAGCAGGGAGCCCAGGCTGCCCGCCGAGATGTTCCGCGGGAAGGAGAATTCCTTCTCGTCGCTCGGGTGGCTGCAGGACAGAGCCAGGTCTGTCCGTGGTGGCCCGGCAGTACAGCCATCACCAGGACCCTGGGGACAGCGCCGGCCCCGTGGCTTGGGGAGCAGAGCCCAGGGGAGGGGGCTGCGTTCATGCCCCCTGTGCCCACCTGTGCTTAAGCAGCAGCGCCCGCAGCACGTTGGCGCGGTCCTCGGTCCGGATCTGGTCTGTGATGACCATCTGCTCCACCACCTGGTGAGCCACCCCCGGCAGTGTCTTCTGGTCCAGATCCAGGAGCACAGCCCCTGGCAAGGGACAGGGGGCTGAGGCCAGCGGGAACGGGAACCCCCTCCCCGCGGGCGCCACGGGGTGACCCCACCTCCCTACCGTGGGCCAGGGTCTTGCGGAGCTCCAGGAGGCTGCGGAAGGAGAGGGAGGCCACGTGGGGTTTGCCCCAGCGGTCGGTCTCCTCCTCCACGTCCTCCTCAAACTTGATCCAACGCGCCGTCTCCTTCCACTGCAGCTCCTGGTTCTTGTCCACCACCAGCTCGTTCAGCTCCACGAACACCTGCGGGCACGGCCGGGTCAGCGCCGGGATCCCTGGGACCCCCGTCCCTGCCTGCCCCCCACCCCAGGGCCCCGCACCTCGTGGGGCTGCCTGTCCTGCTTGCGCTGCCGCGTGCTGGGCTCCTTGTGGTCCTTGCTGACGTGGACCACCTGTGCCTTGGCGCTCTTTCTCACCAGGTGCCGGCGCACGCCCGGCACGTCCTCGAAGCGGTGACCTGGTGGGAAGGGGTCAGTGACGGTGTGGGGTGGGCAACCTGCGGGGCTCACAGCCCTGCACTCCGAGCCCTGGCACGGGGGGCACAGCTCCAGCATGGGGGGCACTGAGCCCTGGCGGGGGGGACACAAGGGGCCGTGGAGCTGTTACGTCCTGCCTGGGACATCTCAGTGCTGGGGGCAAGTGCTGCTGCACCAGGGGTCACCTGCACCAAGGCCTACATGTGCCCACTGGCACATGGGCTCTGCCATGGCCACACTCCCCTGGGAGCTCCGAGGAAAAAGTGTCACCCGTCACCCTGGGAGTCCCCAGGCTGCGAATCCCAGGGGCTGGCGAGCACCCAGGGGAGCCACCGCCACTGCCATCATTGTCACCGGCTCCAGCCGCCCCAGGCACAGCTCCTGGCAGCGCTCCACAGGGACCTGGCCCAGTCCTGGCACCCAGGATGGGTCCCCTGCTGCTGTGCCCAGTGCTGGGAGTGGGGTCAGCACCTGTCCCCAGCCCGGCTTGGCTGCAGCCAAGGGGTGACCCGGCACTGCCAGCAGACCCCCTGTCCCAGACCCACCGTCCCAGAGCCCCTCGTCCTGGCAGTGCCAGACCCCCCATCCCAGACTGTCATCTCCAGCTGTGCCCCCCCAGCACTGCCCGACCCCCCGTCCCGGCCCCGCTCACCCAGCCCGCGGTCACTGCCAGCGCGGCCCCAGGCACGGGGAGCCCCCACTCACTCACTCTTCATGTAGTCCAGGTCGGCTGAGGCCAAAGTCTGCGCCTCCGACTCGTCCGTGGGCATCTTCTGGTAGCGGTCCTGCTCGGCAGCCGTCATGCTGCCGATGCACCGCCGCTCGTGCAGATTGTAGCTCCGGTGCCCCGGCTGCGATTTGGGCGTGGGGCGACCCGGGGACCCGACCTCGGCGGCCGCCCCCTCCCCTGGAGCCCCCTGCTCCGCATCGGGGCTGCAAGTCAGGAGCCCAGCTCAGCACCGAGCCCCCCTCTGCACCCCAGCTCTGCCGGGAGGGACTGGAGGGGGCTGCTCTGCCACGGGGTGACCAGAGGAGGCTGCCCATCCCCAGAGAGCCCCAGCATTGCCCGACCCCGGCTCACCTGCCTGCCCGGGCATCCTTGGGGGTCGTGGCCCCCCGGGGCTCCGGGGGGGAACCGGGCAGTGCCGCGGGGGCCACTGGCTCCTCTGCCCGGTGGTCAGTCACCTCATCCTCCTGCAGGAAGAACTGGGGGGGCAGGGGGTGAGCCAGTTGTTGGGGAGCCATGTCCCCCAGCCATGAGCAACACTGGCTCCAGCTCCTCCAGTGACCAGGCCATGCCCAGACATGCCGAGCCAGGGGGGCCCAGCACTGCCCCTGCCCCAGTGCCCTCACCTGCACTGCCTCGGCCGGCCCAGGCTGCCGCAGCTCCTCCGCCGATCGCTCCGTCTCCGTGTCGCACACATCATCCTCATCCTCTTCAGCCTCCTCGATCGTGGGGGTCTCTCCGGGGACGGAGGCGCGCCGGGCCTTCTTCTTGCCCTTTTTTGGGACCCCCTTTTTGCGGCGGGCGTCGGGGGGCAGGTGCGTGGAGAGCGGGTGGTGGATGTGGAGGGACGACTGGCGGTG